GGCAAACAATCCGGTTTTGTATTGTTGTCACGCTAAACCTAACTAACATTTTTGTTAACTTTTTCGTTTGGACGTAATTTTAACTGCTTTTATCGTTACGTCTAGACGTACCGCTAGACACTACCAACTATTCAAACAAAGCGCCTAACCAAAAAATGCATGACGTCACTTCTGTGCGGCGCAGCAGCCGTTTCTGATTGATTGATTGATATGTGGGGTTTAACGTCCCAAAACCACTATATGATTATGAGAGACGCCGTAGTGGAGGGCTCCGGAAATTTAGACCACCTGCGGTTCTTAAACGTGCACTTGAGCACACGGGCCTAGCCGTTGCTGTGTGGGGGTGGCTTGTGCACCGCGCGGTGCAGCAGTCTCTGCCTTTTAAATAAAATATAATGCTTTGAAGTTCAAACCAAAGGGCTCCACAAGAAATTATTTTATTATTTTTGCTCTAGGCAGTGTATTGTTACAAATTCAGGCAGGGAACACATCACTATCTAGGTATCAGCTGTCCCACTATTTGAGAAGCCTGTTCCGCATTTTACTGCGACAGAAAAAACTAAGATCCGTTCATACAAAATTATAATTTCGTCATTAAGATTGTCATGCCAACAAAAAAAAAAAAAACACCTTATCCTTGCTAGTCCGAAAACGTCATCGCCAAAGATATCACCAGGCAAAAACCGAAAAACAAATCTAGTGGCCGCGTGTGCCATTTTCGAGTATTTCGGTGAATTCTCCTCCTGTGTGCCGAAACTTATTGTCGAGACGAGAGCTCCGAAGTCTCGGTAAGCTGATGCTAAAAGCGTTCATGTGGCGCCAAACTTTCAGCTGCGAGTGACCGAGTCCGCAGCTTCGGCAGCTTTGGTCGTAACGATCCGCACGCGAGCGTCGCAGCATTTGCGCGCCTAGTAGCAGCCAGTCGCACTCGCACGTCGTCGGCAACTGGACTAAAAAGACGTGGACCATCGAGCGATTTCTGGCGTTTTGGTTTGCTGCGCTCGTAGTCGCCGGCCTATATTTCGCCCTTCTCCTCGCCGCTTTCTCTCGACCGAAGCGTAGGGCCAATGGGAAAAGACTTCGTGTACCTACGAAGGTCTCCTTAGCAGCGCGGATATCACCTGTACACCGCGACTCGTTTGGCATTCCTGTCCTAGTCGTTCGTGCCGGGAATACCTGCGCGTACCTGCTACGTTTTAGCATTCAGCGATTGTCGCTGTGATTGTCCCCGGACTGTTTTGATCGTACTGTCAAGGTGAGACCGACTCGCGCTTCGTTTGAATGCGCGCATCCCGTTTAATTCAGCTGTTCTCTCTCGCGCGCGCGGCGCTTTCATGGTTCTTTTGGAAGCCGCCGTTTGGTGGGTTGCCCGTAAAAAGCTCCGCTTCCGTGCTGTGTACTTGCTCGGACCTGTCAGTAACACGTCAGCCTTGTGATGTTTCCTGCTTACGTTTTTTGTTGGGTAGCGGAACACATTGCCAGTACACAGGCGCCGTACGTGTTGTAACTTGATCCGCGTACAGCAGTATGTACGCATTTCTACACAGGATGAGGCAATGTAAGATCAAGACTGTTGCTTTTCTTATCAGGGACGGTGGCTTATTTGCGTGTTCTTTCACAGCTAGCATTGGGAACGCGAATTCGGGCATCCATTGGCCGGGAGCTTTGATGTCGTAACCGCACTTTCAAATTTCTCAGCTGTAGCGTCAAGTGTGACCTATTCGCAGTCTCGCAAATAGTACGTGGCGTAAGCAGTCTGAGTTAATTACTCCGAAAATCATGAAACCCAGCTTGAACAAACCAGTGTATGCCGTTATATAAATTAAACGGAAAATGAAAGTGTTAGTCGTGTAGTCAAATTACAGTGCGACTGCTTATGTCTAGATATTTTCCTATTTAAACGAAGAGGCTTGTGTCACGAAGAGTGATTTTAAAGGCTAATACTTCTTCTGCAGGGGGCTTGCTACCTTTGTTTACAGCTTTTCAGTAACGTTTAAAAAGAGAGTACCAGAAAATACTCAAAATAAAACCTGTCGTAAACTTTATCAAGAGATGAGCTGTTAATTGTTTTATGTCTAGTGTGTAAGCGGTGTACATGTTGTTGTAAAAGGAGTGTGGTAATTCAGCTGAAGCACGCTAGACATGAGGCTGCTATCTTTAAAGTTTATGACAATTAAACTTTGTTGTAACAATAAATGGTGCCAATATGACTTCTAAGGAAATTACTTTTCATTTGCCATCACGATTTGTTATTTCAGCCAGGGTGCAGCACAGTTTTTTAGTTCTCTTTGCAAGTGAGTAATAAATTACTTGAATGAATTCTGTATTTACTTGCAGTGCCAGCTTCTTCTACTAGCACATCATTTTGACTGTAATGGCCATTGCATATTTTAATTTTTTTTTCAAATTTATGATAGCTTAGTGTACATATTTTCCCTTTGATGTCACTTGAATTGATGCTCCCCCCCCCCCCCCCCCCAAAAAAAAATGCTGTGACGTGTTGCTGGTTTTCGGACAAAAAATCGTTTCAGGATGTAGAAGAATACTTTCACATTGAGGCAAAAAAAACCTTTATTGAGATTTTCAGACCATAGTGGAGATCATGGAGAGCTGACGGATGGATACGTATTAGACCAATTCTGACGAAGTTTTGTTTTCACCGAGCTTCCGGGCCCGACCCATTAAATCTTGCATCAGCACGGACACTTGTGGGCACAACCTGTTGGGAGCTATAAATAGGTCATCTCGCAGAAAAGTGGACCGGGCCTCCTTGATATAGGGAAGTGCGTCCGTCTTGTGTGGACGGCTGCTCATTGGCTCTACGCTTCGTGCTGGCTAGCTAAACATTAAATAAAAAGAAAAAAAATGTTTCGTTTTGCCATGAAAACTTGGTTTTCACACAGCGCAAGTAACTTTAAGGTGAATAAATGGTTAGTGTACCAGTCACCTAGAGGCAGTATTATATGGTCTATGTGCTGTGTAGGTACCATTTAGTTCATCAATTTTTTTATTGCTTTTTTTTTTAAATTCGCTGTTTTTCCAACAGCACAGGAAAAAATGATCCATTATGTCTCGTATATGTCTCAAAAAATGTTCACGTTTGTTGGCAGCAAATTTGCCTTTAAGCAATGTAAGTAAGATATAGCAACTATACATAGTACATCCATACATCGTTTTATGCATTAATTAGAGAGCAGTGCCTTCAGTGTGAATTAGCAGTGCCACGCTACACAATAACAATACATTGCATCTATCCATCTTAGGCTTATTAACGTTGACAAGCTCAGTGCACGAGAGACACTAGAAAATAAAGATGTGAAATTACGATAATTGAGTAATTTACATTACATATGGTAGTCAGCTTTCTTCTGGGGCTCTGTTTCTATCAGAAACATTTATCCCCAAAGCTGAGGATGTGCAAAATGTTCAGATTTTACAGTCTCACCTAAAGATGCCTACACCCAGAGGTGCTTCCAGTAATTTTCTTTCATTGGAGGAGTGGTCTCAACCACCTTTATGTATGTTTCCTGAAATACAAAGACGCGTACCGTCAAGGAAGAAAATTGAGGACGGAACAGAAAGGGCTTCACTCACAACTGACTTTGTTCTCGGGAAATGAGGGAAATGTATAACCGTAGCAACCATGCGCGCGCACATCGTCTCCCATGCTGGTAAAAAAATGCACGATAAAATTGACAACAAAAAAAAAATAATGATGACAAAAAAAAGCCGCTAAACGAAAAAATATTTGAAGAAATTCAATTTATCGCCATGCAAAGCAACAGTTGTATTCGCAAGACACGTATCATTCTTCTTTTTAATGTACTAGTATGCTTTCGTAATTTCACGGGCCAAGGTGTCGTTACTCTTTATAAGAACGTGTTCCAAGGCTGCGGGCGAAATTTTAAAAATTGGAGAGGTAGGTTTGAACTGAAAAGCATCTCCTTGCTACCCCAGTGTCTGCATTGTACGGTTAAAATCGTTCTATTCTTAGGCACTAATCTGCGAGTAGGATGTCATCACTGGTTAAACTCGGCGGCATGTGTCCTTTAATTTGGATTTTATACTTGGAACTCGACAGATGGTAGCTGAGGCAAGCAACCAATACAATAGTTTGGGTCACAATGTGCTCTACTTAAAATACGGATATATAATGTTGCGCTCAAGTAGTTGATGTATATTTATTACGTTTCTTTCTCACTTCTGTATTCTAGCAGTCAAAATTAAGAAACATTCTCCCAACTCCCATATTTTTTGTGAACCCCGCTGCGATTGGAGCAGTTAAAAAGATTGATTACTTTTTCTGTCATCTGCATAGGTGTTTGCAAGGTTCTCCCTTAGGACAAGAAGAAAGGGCAAGTTAACCCTCTCTCTTTTCCCTTTGTAGTCCTACTCTGACAGAAAAGGAGCTCTGCAGTCAATGGGCGAAAATGAAAGTGAAGTGATGACGTGCTTTTAACAAAGTCATGCCATTGGTACCCGGCTTTGCAAGGCGAAGGTGGGAGGTAGACAGTTCTTTGAATACATAAGGGCTTTGTAGTCACCATTACTGTGAGAAAACATGTGTAGCTATAACCCTGCACAATAAAAATGATGTGAAGAGTGCAACTATGAAAGATGTGGGAGATAACTTGTGCTCCCCTTGGATGAGTACAGTTAAGTGACCCTCCCCTGCAATGTGCCACTTTGCATGATGTTCTCAGCCAGACGTCGATCTTGAGTACCTTATTTTGATGGGGTAGAGCAAAGATATGCTTGTGCACTTCGTTTTGGGCGTGAATTGAACAGTGGCAACTACACACAATTTGCCCCCTGGGTTGTTTAGCCACGTTAAACTAGACAATTATGCTGTAAATAAAGGGGTGGGGAACTAAAAAGTATAATTTTAATGATGGACATCGCTTTTCTCGATGACGTTCTTGCAGGTTCACTCCGCAAGTACCATGAAGTGGTGGCCAGTGTTTGTTTTGATGTGGCAGCGGTCTTGATGGCAGTGACGGCGGCTGAGGAAGGAAGACTACTACAAGCTGTTGGGCGTCAAGCGCACGGCCTCTGATCGGGAGATTAAGAAGGCGTTCCGCAAGCTAGCCCTCAAGTACCACCCAGACAAGAACAAGGAGCCCGACGCCGGAAGAGAAGTTCAAGAATATCGCGCAAGGCAAGTAGTCTGCGCGCATGACTCTGTATTTCATTCACTTAGTAGAGTTGATCAAATTGGGAGAATGTTCATAATGTCTTTGGGGAAATTGCATTAGGTGGAAGTTTTGTTACACTAGAATTTGAATGCTCTTTTGATACCTGTAAGACTGTACAAACTTCCGAGCTGCTGCAAAGCCTTCTCCGATGCATAGAAGTAGAGTGCGAGTAACCATAGTGAGTTCGGAAGGTGACAGTTGAGATTGTGGTTTCCTGGCATTCTCGGATACTCATTTGCCTAAAAATTGAATCGAAATGAACTTCATGGTTTCTGTCTGCCTTCTCTGATGATTCAGCATCCTATGCCCAACTTGTATAAATCTCCTGTAAAGCTCTGCCGGGAATACAGCAGAGCCACTTTCATACTGTTCTGCATGTGTCGGTCTTCATATTTTGCATGAATATTTCACTCAGCCAAAAAGTTGAAAGGGGTCACAAACTATTTTCCCTAGTAACCATCAAGTGACCCTAGTCCTAATGGAGTTTATTGCATCACGAATTGATTACTGCAAAAGTTTCTTAAATCTCTTAAGAGTTACATGGATTTGATGTGTACTTCAAGTACTTTCTCTTTTCTCTTCTCCAATGAGCACACTGGAAGCTAAGCTGGGAGAGATGGCATGGGCAAATTAAGTGGCGTTAGTGCATATTATGACCTTGAGCACACATGATTAAACTCAATCGCTCTCTCTGATTGTGATTCTTCTGTGCGAGTGTGACTCAGTGTGTAGCGTTGACACACTATGTAACACTGCACCAGCGGTACCCCATGGCGGTCCCCCAGGCGGTAGGTACCCCATGGCAAGAAGCGCATCTGATCCAAATGCCACTTTTTCGGCTGGCTAATAGCACGCTGCACACTGTATGTTGTCAAACAGTAGGCACCGGCATCTCTGATAGGAGTGACAATGGGCCTCTGTATAAAAAGAGGGCACCTGAGAAAATGGCACCCTCACATTCCACTCGTATGCTTTCTTTGCATCGTACAACTGCAGAATTTGCGCAGATGTTCATAGCAGTGTCCACTATTTCCAGAAAGTGTTTTCTCGTCAAGCCTAAGAGCAGTTAAATCTCATGTACGAGGGCTCCTAGGAAGTAAAGATATTGAAGGTCTTTTGAATCTTGTGTTTCATCTTTCTTTCTGTTTCTCATTTGCCCCGACAGCTTACGAGGTCTTGTCGGATGCCGAGAAGCGCAAGAAGTATGATCAATTTGGCAGCTCCGCCTTCAAGCAAGGTGGAGAAGGGGCCAACACGCAGTTCCATGACTTTGACATGCACGACTTCTTCCGTCACTTCGACGACGCCTTCAACTTCCACCAGCAGCAGCACGGCAGGGCGCACTTCCATGGCCATCCCGACTTTGGCCAGCAGAAGCCGCACCAGCACCATCACCATGGGGGCCCACGCTCCTTCTTCGGCAATGCGTTCAACATGGAGGACCTCTTTTCCGACTTCGACGACGAGCGTGACAACTGGATGGGTGGCGGCGGTCCCTTCGGGGAAGTCTTCGGTGGCGGTGACTCCTTCGCGAGTTCGCACTTTGCGCGCCATGCACAGAATCACCATTCCAACATGTTTCACCAACGGAGTGGTGGTAAGTGCTCACTCAATTTGTAGTGCCCATTTCATCAGGTTGTGTGTTGCACAACGGAGTTGAGACAACCATATGTTTTATATGCATATGTGGTGTGATTTATGGGCAACCGAGCCAGGACTGGGTTGATTTGTGGTACATAGTTATGAACGGCGCATAAAAAACACACAGAACACAGATGGAAAAAATCACGCCTACACAGGCGCCCACACTCCCTGCAGTGCGCGCCTACAGGTGATAGGGCATCAGTGCGAACATTGGCCTCGTGTTCCCTCAATCTCAGACTGACACACCTACCGGTCGTCCTATATATTATATATATATATATCTGCTTTTGAACGGTGCCCAACTGTCAGTGCTATTGATTGGCGGTGCATGGAAGTGGCCTTTGCCTTGCTGTGGGTGTAGTAAGGCTAATGAGGATGATGCTATGGGTAGTCACGTGAAAAGTTGCCCTAGAGTGACAAAAATAGCATGGCTGATTGCCAGGAGTGGCAAGAGCCAAAATGTAACGAACTAATCTGAATCTTTTGCATGGCCTCTAAGATTCTGACTCTTCCTCGTCCATGTGCTCTGTGCCACAGGCAAGCGAAATGCATTGTTTTTTTCAGGTTTTTTATTCAGTTTTATTCATTCAAAATATAAAGTTCGCAGTTGAAAGTATGCAGACGATAGTCCTAAAGTCGGGTGACTGTAGTAGGACCCTCGGTTAACAATTATACAGTTTAATAATAACAGCATGTAATATTACACAACGTAAGTGGAAGTGAACAGTGGAAGTACCAGAAAACTATAAAAGATAAGCCAATTTGTTCTACGATATTTGGAGTCGTCTTTTCTGCACTGCTTCTCATTTTCTGGGAATACCATAGATGTGTCGGTTTGATCATGGAGGCGTTGTCATTTTTCTAATTCATGGTAGTACGCATTCTGTGGGGCAGTGCTCTCGCGTGACAGCTTACTTTTGCAGAAGTAAAGCATGTTGGCAACTGGGGTCTTTAGGAAAGGATACTTGGCCCATTTTTCGGTCACAATTTGGGTAATAGTGCAACAGAGAAGGTGGTAAATGTGGCCATAAATCACGTATTGAATTTATTAAGCTGATGCATACATCGTATGCTATGTTTTATAGTTTAGTATAACTGGCTGTCTGAGCATTAAAAGCCCTATGAGAGTGAAAAGTGCAGAAAATGTGAGCTGGTTTTACACACTAGCAGGATGAGTAAATAAACAAGTAATGGAGCATTAAAAAATATTAAGAAATGAAAAGCTGGCCAGATTCTTCTGCAGGATTCAAACATGGGATCTCTATTGCTGAAGCACAGTACAGTAATTATTATGTTGATGGGGAACAGAGCAAAAACGGGACGGAGAAAGAATGATTACAAAACACAAGTGCTGACCAACAACTGTAAGTTTATTACACCAGGAAATATACAGCTGAAAGTGGAAACAAAATTAAAGCCATCACATGCACATAAAGATGAAGTTAATGAATAAAGATGAAGTTAATGAAATAAAGATGAATTAAGGTAATGAAAACTTCACAAAGATTGATTGTACTTAACCCATCAACGTTAACGTTGTGTTATGTTCAGGCTGTTCTTGGGGAAGGTATGTTACTGTCATTCTATAAAACTGTCTCGATCAAACTTGTGGGTGATACCGTGACTGGCATTGCTTCGAATTCTGTGGCGTCAGATGCCACACTGCTTCATTCATTCATCTCGCAGACCATGCCGCATTCCTGCTAGGTCTCTGTTGGCACGAGTTGTTGAAACATGGCTGTATTTTCTAGTTTGACAGGACACGTTTGATGGCTGGATGTTTCGAACGATCTGCAGGTGCTTTCTTTTTTTCTCTCTGAGCATGGCAGTCAGAAAACTTTGTTGGCGCAGCCTCTTTAGCCAAAGACACCTTTCGTGATGTTCTCACAAGAACGCGTTCTTTATAGACAGCTTCCCACGTCTTCGTTGCATACCTTGGCTTGAGGAGCTTTGCGCAGACGTAATCTGTAAGCTGCAGTACGCGGTCCTTGCGCGAAATCACATGGTGCCGTACCTTGAAGCAATCCACTCCTCGCGGTGCAGCAAAAAGTGACACTTTTTCAAAGCAGGTTTTTTCACCAGATTTGCACCGTAGCACAGAATACTCCTTCCCTATTTCACGACTTGCTCATAGGAATAGGATAGCCTATCATTGCACAAAGAGAATAACAACGAAAATGAAAGGACGCGCCAACTGCTCTAGCTAGAAAGCGTCCACTTGCCACTATTGCGCGACATGAGCCGAAGCAATTGTTTCATTTTATGCCACGTTATAGACTGCTTTTTTTTTGCCTGTAAGTAAATCGTGTGCCTATTGGTGGTTTCAACTAGCTGTGGCACTAAAGAACATTTAACAGCTGATGCTGTGGGAATGTAGGTGTAGGCACACATAGTCGTCCAGTCCCGGCTGTCGGGCACGCAGGCTCTCAGCCACGTTGCTACTCCTGCCACCTGGCGGCATCAAGGAGCGGAGGAACCAAAGTTCGACGCAGCGTGTGCGTGGCGGAAACGCTTCGTAATCCCACCTGTATTTCTAACACCGTGATCGGGCTATATTGGAAGGGCCAATAACTGTTTACTGTAGCATGAAACAGTTCATTTGGTTATGAATTTCGGAGTGATATTTTTACTAGTACTAATTCTACTATATTTCTATGCCTTTTCTTGTGTTTAGGGCAAGGCCACTGCAAGACTGTCACACAGAGAGTTGGCAACATGGTGACAACGTACACCCAGTGCTCATAAGAACCAAAGAAGCTTCGTGAGTGCGTCTCCCGATCCTGAGCAAAACCCAGGACTGTAAACTTCAAGGTGCCCACGGCATGTGCTCGCAGAAAGCATGCCGACTGGAACGCCTTACTCTGATCTGTGATGTTTGGCCTGCAGTTTTCTACCGACTGCTGCTATCTAGCTATGGATTTGTTTTGTTGTTTTTTTATTTTGTACATACCGAAGTCTATTTTCAGAACATATTTTTTTCCTTTAAGTAAATCGTGTGCGTAATGGTGGCTCTGACTGGGTATGGCGCTGAAGAAATTTTAACAGCTTAAGCTGTGGGAATGTAGGCACGCATAGTTGTCCAGTGCCGCTATATTGTTCTTAGCACACGGAGTATTACAGAGCCTTTCTGTACTTGGATAATTCAGCCATTGTGAGTAAGAAATAACTTGGTGTGGCTCTTGGCTGATCGCCAAAAGTGGTGATGTTTCACCATGCACGTTGTGTATGTATTTGTATAGCCAGCAGAACTGCTGCCTACGTTGTACGCCAGGTTATCTGTTTCAACAGACATTGAAGATTGCTTGTGGTAGATAATGCAACTCTCGCATCACCTTGTCTATTTGAACAGGTGGATGCTAGTGAAGATGCATATTGTTGGATGATGGCAGTTAATGTACTTCCACACATTATTATGTCAATTCTTTGCCTTATATTGTTGTAGGGCCCTATTGCATAATCTGAATCCAAGCAGTAATAGAGAGCTTGCAAGTATTGCCTGGAACATAAATGCTTTTTTTTTTTACCATGCATTTTGAAGACATTATTTATTATAACCGGTGATTCGTGCATAATTTCTATGTCGTGCAAGGTAATTTCTGTACTGCTTGGCTGTTGCACTACTAATAGTACCTGTGTGTGATTTAATTAGAAAGATAATTTGTGAGCCGAGGTAACTGGCAAATATCACAGTGCTATTAAGTATCCATGCAGTGTCTGTTTCTTCAAGTAATCCAGGCAATGTAAGACTGTTGCATTATCTAACGCAGTGGAAGTTTAAGTCTGTTTTCATTAGATAGACTACGTAATTTGAGCACTAAGGAAGAGTGTTAGCTAGTAGTCCTTGCGGCAATGACATGTTGCTAAAAGATCGGTGGTAGACTGGGAAGTACTTTGGAGAGTCTAATGGTAGATTTGTTGGGCAGCCAAGGTGCAAGCAAGAACGGTTTTGTTTTGAAATTTCGGAAAGTGCTGGAAACATAAATTTAATACTTATGTAGGTCTTATGAATGTCTTACTACAGGCAGGTCTGTTGTAGACTTGCTATGGAGATGTTGTAGATGTGCACTTTGATTTATGTTTGACGCATTATAACACATTATTGGGACAAGATAGAGGTGGTTGTATGCTGATGATGCTAGGTTGATGTAATTTAGCAAAAAAACTGAAGGATAAATTTGGCCCTGTCAGATGGCCTATCTAATGAGTTTGACATCTGGGTAATGCCGTCAATTTCTTCTAGATTTTTCTGGAAACTGCAGTGCTAGTATGAAATGGTTGTGCTTTTTAAACATAGTTGGGGTATACACCAATCGTTGAGATTCAAAGGTATTGAGCTGGCACCGTTTTAACGTCATTGTCAAAAAATAATTATTGATAACTAATGCTTAGCTGAAGCAGCTTGTAATTTCCTGGATTCTTTTTTTACTTGCCTCATGTGTGTGTTTAAAAAGCTGCAGATCTCTGCAGCAGACTGAGGGCGAGTGCTGTGAAACTACAAAGAGTTGGTAATCAATTGACCAAATGTAGGTGATACTGACAGCAGTATCTCAGTTTGGGAAAATTGCAGCATGCAGGAGTTTTTTTTACTTCTGTGAATTCACATAGCACCTTGAGAGACACTACGATGTCACTTGTGAACATGGCCTATTGTCTAGTATTATCAATCATATGATAATCATTGGCCAGATTTTTCATTGCATCTTATAGTCATGTACAACTTGAGAAGGCAGCGATGTTTCGACCTCAAAGGTGAATCCACACTTGTGCGCCACTGAGCGTGCATCCTAGAATGTTGCAAGCGAGACGGTTTGTGAACTCGCTGTCGCAGAATGTCATGGAGTAAAAGGACAGGGCTACCTTTTTGGTCACAGAGCCAACTGGCTGGCACACTTGTCATCAGGGTGGGGCTTTTGTTTTCTGAAGTTAGGTTTGACTACTCAAACCTCAATATAATGAACATAGGTGTAACGAAATATCGGCTATCACGAAACGAAAAATTGTCTTGCAATGAATGGAGCATTAGAAATAACCTTCATAATGAATTTTCGGATAGGACAAACTTATTTTCTTGTGAGATGCATTGTTGTTATAACGAGGTCCGAGTGTGATGTTATGTGCAGCACTGTGCAGCCAACAGGAAGATTTGTAGTTGGACTACTGCATATATTTTTCACGTTGGTTCATCGTAACTATGAACCGCATCGCAGTTTTTCTACAGTGCCACTTGGTGTAGTAGCCACACTAGATATGCTGGAGAGACAATTGTGCCTGTTGAAGGCTCTTGCACGCTCGGTGCTTGGCGAGGTGTGTTGTGTTATTCTTACATTGTTGGGTCGTACTTTCAACGATCCAGTTCAACATTTCCATTCCTTGTTACTGTGTCAATAGTTTAGCTCTCATTCAGGCGCCGCTGTTGTGGGTGGCTTTGCTACACAGCACTGGTGATAACAAAAATAAAAAAATAACAACAAAACAAAATAAGTTAGATAAACAATTACAATCAAACCTTTATATAATGAACCCAGATATAGTGAAATATCGGTTATAACAAAATAAATGAATAGTCTTACAATTGTATTAGGAATGAACCTTTATAACAAATCTTCACATATAACAAACATATTTTCATCTACGATGCAGCTTCATTATAGTGAGGTTAGAGTGTATACTTGGTTTTAGTTTCCCACGTTCTATTAACTTTTTTATTGATGAGAAATTATTATTATGCAAGTCTTTTGCTCGCCCTTATATGTAGTTTGTTAAATGCGCGTGTAGTTTGCTTTTATTTTGCCCAAATTCATCTACTCGCAAATACAAGTTTTGGAGTATTTATTTATTTACACCAAATGGCCTTTAAATGCTCTTTGTCATCATGGGGTTGGGTGAAGCACTGTGTGTATTCAGACACTTCTGTGTTGGTTTTAAGTTTTCCGTGTGTTTAGCAAGTGTCACGCACCCTGCTACAGCTCTGTATATTTATCATTCGTTGTAAATATTTGTACATAGCCTTAGGTTTTTAAAAAACTGTTTGAAATGTACAGTAGCCTCGTTAGCCCAAAAAATATTGAACCATGTTTGGATGCTGTAGGCTGCTGTGTTACTAGCCCAAAAGATAGTTTTTTTTTTTTTCTTAAAGGAATGAAGGCTTTTGCAACTACTGTCTGTTATACATATTTTTGTTGAGTATTTAAGTGGCTTAGTTAAAGGTACAGACAACATTGTGGGCTCTTTAACTGCTAGTGTTATGGACATGTTGTCGAGTTTCATTGGCTTTTGTGATGGACTGCAGCATGTGTTGTACTGGCACATAGCAGGTCAACCTTATCAACAATGCTCCATTCAATTGGTGGCAAGTATTTAGAGTGAACCAAGCAACCAGCATGCTATGATGAAAGTAAACCAAGTAATCGGCCTGTAACAATGAATTTCATGCAATCAAAACTACGTTTGCAGCCCTTCATCTCATCTATGTTTCATTCACTTCTGAAAGATAAGGCACTGGTCATGTTCATGACAGTATAGCTGATAGCGTCAATGAAATAAGCTGGTCAAGTCCAAAGTTTAGATAGCCTTGACATTTTAGGTCACCATCCAAAATTTTCGAAGTGCTGCTACTTTTGTGCAGTTACCGAGGTCGCATGAGTGAGGCATTGTTGTTCTGAGGGTGACCTGTGTTCAGGCAAGAGCAGTACGGAACCTTGTCCTGTAATCAGTAGTGTAGATGAATATATTGCATCATTGAGAGACGTGCTTATATGCCAAAGTAAGTTATCAGTTTGGACAATCTTGAAGTGCACTTTTCGATGCCCAAGAAATCATTCTGCCGCAGTGTACAGCTTCAAGTTGGGGTTTTTGAACAATTCACAAATTGGGAGTTGAGCAACACAGAGCTTCTGAAAGCAGTTATTTTAGTACTTTGTAGTGAGCTTAAATGTTGTATTGCTGTGTTTCTAGAGTTTGTTGTGCTTTGGATTGTAAAAAAAATTTGCTACCATCTGGTCGATCAATACTGTTGGCATCTGCTGTTGAGATAGGAATGGCAGCAATAAAATTATTATGGTTCGTTAATTTGTTCGTCTGAGGTGTATGGTGTGATGATTGGTGCTACAGTGCAGGTGCCTAGTGTGCAACTCGCTCATCACGCTTAGTTTCATTTGAGTATCCAGAAATATCACTCTTTTTCTGTTGTTTGAAACAGCATGGTATTAGTCAAAATGTGTGTGCATTCATCGAGCCCATAACTTTCAGTGTCAGTGTTCTACATCACATGTTTCTATTTGTACATTTAGCTTACTGACACAGCTTTCTGTAAACTCGGCCATATGAGAAAATGAAAGTGGTTTCTTTTTTATAGCGTATGCATCATGGCACTCACGAATCTAATAATGCTGGCAAGCAGGTTGATGATATGCTTTATAGTTTAAAAGGGCCTCATTGGGTTTTAGTATTGAAAACAAATGCAGTGCATAGATTGATGGAGTGGCCGTTTGTTTTTACAAGGTACCGCTGTGTGGGCTGAAAACAGCTGAACTTGCGGATTTAAAGAGAAGGCGGTACTCTCTCTCTGAGGGAGCTGCATTTTCAGCAAGATTCAAGCTGACACATACAAAGGCTTTATGCAATCCATGCTAGTTGATACGGCGAAGATCGTTGCACATGACATGGGTCAATCATCTAATGCAGTGTGCTTTTGAAAAGCAGTGTGTAGAAGGAAAAGGATAATAGAAAGGCGGAATGCAGAACTTGTGCTCTTGTACATCACATGAAGGTGACACGGTCTCTCTTCTTGATTGTGGGAGAACGTAGGCAAAAAGCACCACCACAATCTTTCTAGTTTAGGCAAGAGGGCTGGCAGTTAGGACTGAAGCTCGCCTTCTGGCAGCAGAAGCAGAAAACTGCTCAGTCTTTTCTTTCTCCTTAAACAGAGAATGAAACCCGACAGAAACGTTTCCTCACAACTTGCAATATCTGGTGTATAATGAAAATTAGCAATATGAGTCCTTTGAAGGACTGTTTCATTCGTAATGTGGTTTGATGCGCAAGCAGGCCTGTTTGTTCTAAATTTGAAGTTGAATTTTTGAAAGTTGGTATGCCACATCGAATTTTATTTTCACTTTTCTTTTGTTGTGCTAAAAAACAATGTAACTGTGAAGTTAGAGATTTTCCATAGCCATAAACATGGCTCTTGTTCTTTGATTACAACTTAGAGTATCCTGTCAGCCCCTGCCCTTCTAAGTTGACTTACCTCCTCAGATCAAGAATCTTAAGCAAATGGAAGACAACCATGCAGACTTCTGTTTTTTGCTTGTTTCGATGATTAACAAACACCTTTATATTCTACCTAAAGTAGTTAATTAGATTGTTTGGTCTCAATTATAAATCACTAAAACAAGAAAAGTTTTGCAGCATATGGTATACGTGCAGCGAGTATCTCTGTGCTGAAGCGTACTAGATGCTTTATCAAAAATACGATATAACACCTGGGGTTTTATGTTCAAAAACCACGACATGACCATGTGAGATGCTGTTGTGGAGGGCTCCGGAAATATCGACCATCTAGTATTCTTTAACATGCACCAACATCGCACAGTACACGGGCATCTACCTTTTCGGGTCCATCAAAATGCGACCACCACAGCCATGATCGAACTCGCCGTCTTCAGGTCTTAGCAGCCAAGCACCTTAATCACTGCTCCGCTGCGGTGGACTTATCAAAAATATAATCTGCATTTAGTGCACAGGTGCATCCAATGTGTTTGTCCGATTAAGCGCCTGAAATTCAAAACTACTCTTGCTAAACACTAGCGCACCCATCGCAGTGGTGTGTGGTGTAGTGGCTAGGGTGATCGACTGCTGACCCAGAGGTCTCGGGATCATATTCTGACCGCGGCGACTACATTTCGATGGAGGTGAAATGTACTGGAGGCGCCTCATACTTAGATTTAGGGGCCTGTTAAAAAACACTCAACTGTACAGGTTTTGAGATTTCTCCACTACAGCGTTACTCATATTCATAGGTCGGCAAAACTTGCGGAGCTCGCTCAGACTCGCTTGTGAAATGTCTTTTGAGCTTTGGACTCACTCTGACTCAGAATCACCTAATGTTTTCCTAAGCTGGACTCACTCGAACTCACACTCACAAAAATTTTCTTCAGCCGGACTTAATCGGACTCAAACTACCCAAAATGTTACTCACACCCGGGCTCACTTCGACTCATGGCTCTATCTGAGGCCGGCTGAGTCGAATCTTGAGTCTGTTTACCTAGAAATAACTTTTTCGATCATAGTGTCAATGTTCTTTAACCCCACTATCTCACGTAATCGGCGCATTTCTTGGCACCTTTTGATAAAGTACATCCGTGTACGAGTAATGACTAGTTTCAGTAGAGACATTTTTTTTTCTTTGAAAAAGATAACATAACGTTAATTCATCAGGAACTTATCTGAAAAAGTAGGCAGCGGAGAGGGAAGTCGAGACACTTATCTACGTTATTCACGCTTCTGGTAAATAAATATTTAAATGGTGTATAAATGATACTGCTTTGGAATACATGTGAGTAAACATGAATATATAGGTGAAGTCAGGTAAGCCTGATAGTAATTGTGAAATATAGTTGATAGGATATGTTCGGTGCGCGTCAGCTTTGGGAAAAGAGGGTTCTTGAATGAGTGCCGCACGTTTCTGTGCTGGTGGATTTTTGGGAGGCTGCCGCCACTTCCGGTTTCATGGGTATGCTGTTGCACACTTGAGAGAAATCTCGAAGCGCATGGCACCTTGATGCGGTGAGCACTCCAACCACGTGCTGTGGTTGGAGCGAAATGGGACCGAAAATTTTATTCTTTATCTTATTTGCTTCTTTCTCAATTTTGCGCTCACAACCAACGGTGCTGACGCCGACGGCCAAATTTATGTGACACGAGCTCTCCAACACTATCGCATTTATTTAAAATGCCAGGCTTGTGCGAAACGCGCAGCACAGTCGCAGCGCAAGTTAGAAGAGCGGCCTTTTCGAAACGCTCATTGGGTAACTACTGCAAGCACACTTGCTTGATATCCACAAGGCCATCATTAATAAATTTATTTGGGTAATAGGCTGGCATTCGCTATGTTATTTTTCGTCATTTTTCTGAGATTAAGCGTGGTATCCCCTAAACACTTGCAAGGAATTCCGTACCAATTGTTCATTCAGTGGCTGACGATGATGAGGAATTAAGCCTGAACTGGTTATGCACCACAGTTAATAGGGGAACGGAAACAAGCTTTTGTAATGGGTTGGAGCATTGGACGGCCAATTACGCTATTCGCGTTGTTCTTCTTTCGCTGTTTTAAAACGCTTTATAAGTCATATTAACATGATTGCGTTCCCCACATCAAGCCTGCCTAAGGTAAGCTCAGTGGTCGAATACTAGGCTGGCACCTAGCGAACCCGGGTTCGAGCCCCACTGTGTCTTTGGTGCTCGGTTTTTAAATGCGAAAGGATTTCTAAGCAAACTTCGGCGACTTTGAGCGTATCTATCTGTCTATCTATCTATCTATCTAGCCGCCTACGACTTTTAGCTCTCCTGGCCTGTTTCGATAATGGTATCGATACCAAACTTGGTATGGCATAACATGACTGTATGAAGAACATATCTGACTAGCCATGTCATCAATGTCAGGATTTACATTTCATGGTCCTGCAGCTCTTGCGGTGGTTTCGTTCACATGGCAGTGTTGCAAAACTGCTATGGTATGACATGACTGCATGGTGAACACAAGCGGCAGACCCTAACATGAAAATCATGACATGCGAGTCATGTAACAACATGACTACATGCCACGCTCATGATGCGCTCTCGGCCAGTTCGCTTACGTCAGATATACCAAATGTGGTATTACAATACGTGAATGGATGACGAAGGTATTCTGACTGGTGCTTACATGATAATTATGAGATGCGTGACATGTAACAACATGATTACATGCCACGCTCATGATGCGCTGGCGGTCGTTTCACTAGCTTCAATTATACAACATTTGGTATTACAGGACGTGAATGGATGACAAAAGTGTGAGACTGGTGCAAACATAATAAACATGAGATGCGTGTCATGTAACAACATGACTACATGCTAAGCTCATGATGTGCTCGCAGGCCGTTTCGCTAGCTTCACATATACCGAATTCGGCATTATGTGACGAGAATGGATGACATAGGTAAATTACACAGCCAAACATGATAATCACAACATGCGTGTCATGTATCAACATTACTAGATGCCACACTCATGATGTGCTCGTGGCTGTTTCGCTAGCTTCACATAGCCAAACCTGGTATTACGTGACGTCAATGGATGATGAAGGTATATGACTGGTGCAAACATGATATTCATAGATGCGTGTCGTGTGAGAACATGACTACATGCCACAGTCAAGACGCTGGCGTTGTTATGGCCAGGCGCTGGTCCTGCCATATACTGGCAGCTGGGCGCTGCAGTTACTTTGACGCATGCGTGTTTCAGAGCGTCCCGCATCCTTTTGTCTCGAAAAGAGGCAGACGCAGTGCTGTCATGGTAACGCATTGGCACCAAATGCAGCATGTCACACTTCGCTGCGGCTGCCGTCGGGCCGCACCGACGGACGCTGGTCGCGCCGGTCTGGCTTGGCGTCAGACTATAGAGTGCTTGCATTTTGCTAACGTAGTGTCGCTGTCAACGTTACGTTGGTGTATATTGGGCTCTTTGTGATGCACTCGGGGCCATTTCGCTAGCTCCACATATACCATATTTGGTGTTACATGACGTCAATGATGACGAAGGTATATGACTGGTGCAAACATAATAATCATCAGACGCGTGTCATGTAAAAACACAACATACCACACTCAGTTTGCTCGCGGTCATTTCGCTAGCTCCACGTATAATAAATTTGGAATCACGTGACGTGAATAGATGACGAAGGTAAACGACACATCCAAACATAATAATCATGACATGGAAGTCGTGTATGGCATAATTTACCTTCAGCTAGTAATATTATGGTGAAATGAAAGTGGCATATCAACCTTCCTCATTCATGCTTTGCATAT